AAAAAAAAAACCACAAATTAATATATAATAAAATCAGCTGAATTACTTAATTAATTTTAGAGAAAAATTAAGCACATACATTTAGTCTCCTGCATAGACAGCATTGTTATCACATGACAAGATAGAAAAAAATAAAGTTAAAAATAAGAATCTAACAATAACTGTAATAGACTTGTCGTAAGCCTTTCAATTAGGCTTGCTATAAGCTTTCCAAAGCTTTGTAAGTACTTGCAGACCTTCCATTAGCCTTGTTGTTGAACAAGTAAAGAAAAAATGCACGTAGGCCTCAAAAATGGCTTTTAATTGGTTCTTTGTCACCACCAAACTATAGATGTTGACCTTGCATACTGCCAACGGGATGATATTCACATAAACATAAAGTGATTGTAATAGACTTAACATGAGTCTCTCATTGCACTATAAACAAATAATGAAGCATGTGACAGGCCTGCCATGAGGCTCCCATTGCACATAAAAATAAATGATACATGTTATAGACTTGTAATGAGTCTTTCAACATATAGAAGATAAATAGTGAATACTTAGAGACCTGCCAAGCCGAGAATCCTTTGCCTTTAAGATTCTTAAAAAAAAAAAAACCAAAGCTTTGATATCCACATCATGCAAATAAATAAAAGGTGAGAATATATATATATGTGTGTGTGATCTTTTTTGCGGTCAACACTTGCTCCTAGCCAACACTCAACGTCATTTTTTTGTGCCGACACTGTTTTGCTAGGCAGCACTTGCTTATAATCGATGCTCAACTTCTTCTTGATTAGCTTTTTTTAAATCAGCTAACCAGCTTGCTAGTCATTTGACAAAAAGTTGTTAAAAATCAACTGATCGGCTTTTGGATGATCACGCTAACTAACGTAGTAATTTTCAATGGCTAAATGCATTAACTTGTCAAAACATGTTGTCGCCATAATTTTTTATGGTGCTAATTGAATTTGTTTTTTAAAAAAAAAAAAAAGAGCTAAGCATAACTAGAAAACTTACTTGACAAACAAATAGCCCTCTAGGCAACAAACTAGACACCTTGTCACTTGCTAGTCATTTAACTAGGTATAAATAGAGAATTCGTTTGACAGACAAGTAGTCCTTTAAGTGTCATGCTAAACGCTCTATCACTTACCAATCTTTTATCAAAACTTTAGCTAATCTCCACTTGCTTAACAAATAGGTAGCCTCCAAGTGCCATGCCAAAAGTCAAATCAAGTGCTAATCGTTCGTTAAAAAAAAAAAAAAACCATAGAAAAAAAAATTGAGTATGAAATGCTCAAGACCTAACTAGCGTGTAGTTTGACCAAATAAACATAAGATTGTTATTAGAAATAAAATTTGAGCATGAAAATTTCACAACCTAACTAGTTCACAATTTAACCAAATAGATAGGACACTACCATAAAAAAAGAAACTAAACATGAAAAACTCACAATCTAACCAATATGCAACTTAATCAGATGAAAATAACATTGACATTAGTGTATATATATATATATATATATATATATATAACTCACAGTCCAACAAACATGCAACTTATCCACATAAACATAACATTACTATGAAAAAAGAAAGAGCATGAGTTTAAAAAAGCTTAGTGATTTTGTTGTTCATAAATCTATATGACTTTTAGTTAATGACAACGAATCCATCTGGTGGTACTAATAAATAATAAATAATAAAAGAAAATAAAAACTGATTTTTGAATTTCTTTTGTCAAAATTAATTTTAATACTCAATATATATATATTGAAACGCTTGATCCAATCTCTTCTTAAATATTTCAATTATCTGTCTTACTTCAACAGTCAAAACTAACCAAAAAAAATCAAATTTGACTAAAAATTTAATAATTTGAGATTTAAATAGCTAAAATTGATAAAATAGATTTTATTTTACCACAGCTTCAATAATTTAGAAGCAAATTATGCCATTAAACCATTAATCAACAAAGACACGGCTGGGTCGCTTACGTGCAATCAGTTCGCTTGCCTCATTTTAGAGGCGGGTTGAGAAGGCTCCATCCAATTTTCATTTTCTCAACAACGTACCTTCAAGCTAACTTTCAGACACTACCTAGGTCCAACTGTTCGTGATATTGATGTATGCAACTCACATGCCAAGACATGCAAAGAACTGGCATGCATGTAAGCGGTAGCTGCTAAAGCAACTGTTCTTCTTAGCACAACTCGATACTCATTACACAGTAGTTAGGTTAACAACTGGCTGGGCATAAGGAAAACAGGTGGTTAAAATACATTCCACATTTAAACAAATTAAAAGGCGATCTGATGATTCAAATTGAGAACAGCGAGGGACACAGAAAGGCAATGAAAATGAGCACACACGGCACACATAGAGAGATCATTAAATCATGTTCTGCCCTTTTGAATATATTAGGGAATTAACTATTAGCACAGCTGCATTACACCAATTGGATGTTCTTTACTTGTTTACATAAAGTTCAGTCACTGGTTTAAGAACAGAAATCTGACCAGGCATTACACGGATACAAACCAGATAAAAATAATAATAATAAATTCTTATACAAGACTACACAACTCAATCTGTTCTTAACATTGCTTAGTAAATTCATAGTGAGAATTGTCAGCACAGTCCGTTCTGTAACAAATTGCCATATCTACAAAGTGACGGGAAAAAATACCAAAATAACCCAACGTACCTATACTTTCCATTAGCAGGTAATCTAGTATGTTCCTCAAATGACCTGCAGATAAGGCATGCAAAATTACGAAAGAGAAAAGATTTTATGATTCAGCAGATGTTATTATGACAGGCACTGAGGTACTTTTTGTATAGCAGACACCTCGTCACCAATTTCTTTCCCACCACCATGTTGAAGGAGCATTTCAAACCTGTGTTCTTTTAACAATCTTCTTAATGGCCTTCCAAAGGACCTACATGGTCACCCTAATCAGATTTGGATATTTCTACACAATCCACCCTTATATATATGATATTTCAGACTCAAAAGCATAGCACTAACTCCAGATCCATTTACTCTCAGCCTCAGGATCTCAAAAACCCAAACTCACATCAATTTTCACATTGTCTAGCAACAAGAAATTGTTAATCCTCAAGGGGGGTTCTTACTAATAAGCTACAGGCATAAGGCATGCCAGGGGTGAAGTGAATGCCTAAATATAACCTTAATTCCTCCGAATCTAATTAATCCAGAATTATACACTTACATAGATCTCATAGTTGTGCTCAGCTTTAAAATTCACACTTTTTCTAGCTATCATCATCTCTTGCAGAAGTTGAACTGAAAGGAGTAAGAAAGTTCTGATGCATGATATGTATTATGAAAGAGACAAATATCATTATCAAGGAAGCATTTTTATATGTTGCAAATAAGTAATATGTAAACACTGAAGCCAAAATTTTAATAAATCATATTTAAGCTGTATGTTACTCGCAGACAGCTTGCCCACAATGATCCTGCCTCAGCAGCTACCCCCTCTCACAACTAACTTTAGATAGTGCACATCAAAGATTAGAGAAACGAGGGTAAGTCCAATGATCAAGTCTAATTGAATGCTTAAAAGATCTGAGGACATGAAGGTATAAAAATGACAGAGCAATAATTGACAAGAAAAATTGAAAAATTAAATCAGCTCATAAAAAATTCATAACATAAAAAATTGAACAATATCAATCGTAAAACACTTGGATCAGCTAAATAAACAAAAAAACTAGGTTCAATTGCATCTATAATTCCTAGGCTTAAAAAAAAAAAAAAGCAAAACTGCCTCCACAAAATTGGATCCTCCATTAAGTGAGAAAATGACGTCATCCATAATATTCTCCAGAATGGTTTCTTAAACGAGCACTTTTAAGTTCAGCTATATTCAGACTAGCATGACAAGCAGCCAAATGGTTCGCTGATGTAGTCAATCAATTCTAAGGACATCCCTATATAAGTGATGACATCAACCAAGAGAAAATACAGTGTTATAAGAGCCACCAATTCAAGGAACATAATTTTAAGCATGAGTACCAGTCACCAGAGTGAAAAGAATTTAGTGAGGAAATTAAAGCGCATCATATACACAGTAAAAGTGTAGTTTGAAGACTAGTTTCTAAATTGTGACAGAAAATGATTCTATCCTTCAGCTTATTGAGTCAATATAGAGTTCTCGATCTTAAAATTTATTTTCTCTTCCTGTCTCTCATTCAACTTTTTTTTAAGTGTTTCCAGGCATGCATCAGTACTTAGTACTTACCACCTACATGGACAGCCACAAATAGCTTTTTTTTTCAATCAGATTTAGCATAATTGAGCGGAAAAAAGGAAATTATGCTGTTGTAAGACAGAAAATCATGTGCTTTTTGTGAGTGTTCTTTGACTTGTATACTATTTCTTGCAACAATATATTAGTATTCTTCAAATCAAAATTTAAATGAGACTAAGTTCGATTTTTTTACTTTCCATGGTGTTCAATAATAATAGATGGCCATGCATCAAAACCCTGTTAACAAATATAAATCATTTCTATTGATTTAATCTGTTCACAAGGCTTCTTGACATACATAGAACCATTCCCTGTATATCAAACATTATTCATCCTTAAAAAGACGTTTAAGATATGTGACCTAAACAATAGTCAAACTATGATCTCAAAGGATAAATAATTATGCTTGATGAAGTAACTAAGAAGCCTCAAACAATACTTCAAGAATAAAGAGGCATGTAGAAAGGAATAGGCCTAGGAGTTTCAGGTCCAAAGTTCTAATTTCTTACTGCTAGCCAAGATAGAATTTGAATATATTCATACTGAAGACGAACTGACACAAAAGATAAGAGTAGCACATGTAGATGATCACTAAATAAGATAGCAAACAAGAGTTTTGCAAAATTATATTTCACAAGATAAAATTCATATACACACCCTTATGAATTTGGCCGCAACTTCGACTGTACAGTAAAATGAAACAGACACATTCACTACAACTACCTTTTGAGAAGATTAGATAGAGCACCCCCTGGAGTTGTCAGACGAGAGGAGAAAAGAAAGGGTCCAAGCACCAAGAGCTGACCCAAGAATGAGACAAACGCTAGTTTATTCTATAGTTAAATATATCAAAAGCTTAAAGAGAAAAGAGAATGAACATTCTAAATCAGAGACCAAATTTTGCTTAAAAGATAAACTGAAGGAGGAAGGAGCTATATTCAAGCTAGTAAGGAAAAAGTAGCTCTTTTATTCCTTGTTACCAAATCTCTTTGCAATGATGGGCCGGACATCATCAGCATCAACCAAGGTCTCTAAGAAGGGTAGTAATGAAATTAGTGCGCAATCTGATGGATCACTAAACCAACTCTTAATAGGAATCCCATTATTTACTTGCAACCTGAAAACCTGAAATCACCAAAAGAGAACAACAGTTAAACAATCAGAGAAAATTCAGTGAGAAAATTTTTCTTTATTCCTGCCATTTTGCACCCAGAATCCTTTTTCTTTGGTTGGGGGCAAGTAGACAATGCTTCCCATATTACTAGCATTAACAAAAAAGGAACAACCTCATTTTTATCTCCACTTTTGATGTTTGACTTCCACTGCCCTCCCCGCTCTAGAACCCTGACCTAAGATAAGAAATTTGCTGTGTTCTACTTCTACAGTTTACCTCCAGTATAGTCAGCTCTAAACATCCCCAAATCTTATTGTTGAATATTAGACTCGTACAAATAGATTTGACACCTAATTTGGTATCCCAACTAAAATGGTCACATAACAAAAACCCATTTATCTAGACAACAATCATAACCAAGGACGATAACTGCTCACAGCTCGTACAGCAAGAAAATTGGACACATGAGGAAAGATGGGAGAGGAAGGAAAGGAGGATAGCAAAGTGAAAAACCATCGATGCAAAATGGGCAGGTAAATGTAAATACCTGTGGAGAATTATCAATTATGGCAACTTTGGCAAGATCAACACCTAAAACTGTCAAATCTTTTGTGTAACTTCCATCCGAAAAAATACATGATTCACGATAAAGCCGCTGAGATATAAGCTTTCTATCAGGATCCAGTGTGTCCAAAAGCTGGGCTGCATAGATGCTCTGGCTAGCTGTGAAGATAACAACTTCAAACATCTCTGCAACTCTCTCCAAGAAAGTGTGGACGTGAGGCCTCTGTTTAACGTACACCCTGTGCTCTTTCATATTGAAAAACACAGTAAAGGTGAAGTCCGCATCATCACAATGTTCCAATGTTGAGTGGACAAGTGTTTCTGAGAATAGAAAAGTCATCTGTGACTCAACCTTCATTATATACTTGGGGCATATTTCTTTAATTAAATTAATTACAGAGAAAATGATGTGAAAACACAATTATGACCAAAAAAGTTCGTGAGAGAATTTCAAACCAACCAGATTATCAATATCTTCTTCTCAGTGGTGGTCATTCAAAATAGTGTTTAGACTTCAGATACAGCAGAAGCACAATTAAAAGAGTCAATGGATCGAACTCAACAATATCAAAGGATAATGTTTACATATATTAGAAACACATAAAGTACAGTATTCAGACCCACTGACCTATCCACTAACTTATCTCAGTTGCTATGATTCAAATAGTGTTGTCAGAAGCAGCAGCATTAGTAGGAAAGTCAAAGAATCAAGCCCAAAAATATGAAAGAAGGCATATTGCATGGACTAGCAAAATGCCGAGAGAGAGAGAGAGAGCGAGGCTTGAATAATGTAAATTTCTTACCATCCAAATCAAGCACTAGGGTTACGGACTTTCTTCTGCAAGACTCCTTCGGGCTGATAGAGGGCCGAAAATTTGAAACCACGTCAGATAATTCCGGTAAATTTTTTATGAAGAACTGAGGATCAAAGTCTTCTGCTTGGTCTGAGTCAGTATTTAGATCAGATTCCTGATCACAAGATCTTATCTGATTAATTGCTAGATATAAGCTACCATTATCTGAATCTATCATGGCTTCTTCACATGATTTCATAACATCGGAGTCGCTCACTTTGGCAGTATCCTCAAGAAAAGGTAGTATCATGCACTCCTCAGCCACATCGAACAACATACTTGGCTCAGCACACTTATAATCAGGAAAAGGATTGGCATCAGTGAAATCATTGACGACAGTGTTCCCATCAAATGGTAGGCCAGCAATAATCATGTCAGAAATAAAAAAATCTGACACGTTGCAAGTTTGATAATCACATGAGCTTCTGTTATCATCACAGTCATCAGTACCCAAATCTGGCACGTTAAGATTGTTGTTACTCCCTACAAAAAGAATAAAAGAAAAATCATCACACTAGATATTTGTCATAGAAAAATCACTAATACTGATAGCTCCAATGCAAAACTCTTGGGAGTTTTCCACTAAAATTCTATCTCTACCAAGACACTAATTAATAATCAGTGTTGACTTTATGTTAGTTGCCATAGTACAAACACATTAAAGTTGGATCCTAGCAAAGCTGGATACCAGAGGAAAAAATGAAATTGTTACTGCTGTCCAATGTAATACTTTCTACCAGCCAGCAAATGCTTTGTAGGTACCTATACATGTCCTCAAAGTCCTTGCTTTCACGTAACCAACATTTCAAAATAAATTCTACAATACCACACAATAGATTGTCTTGTTACAATAGCATAAACAAGAGAGAAACAATAAACCATTCATTTGTATATAATTGGCTGTCCTGCAGGCAACTAAACAGGAAAAATGTTACTACAGCTATAGTAGAAATATGGCTCTCTTCCATTTCTTTAGCTCTTTTGCATTAATGACTGGTTTTTTAAGCATTACATGCAGAAATTGGAGCTGTACCTGGATCATCATCTATATGTAGCACACTGTTGACGTCAATGGGCTCAAGAACAGGAGAAAAAATTGTCTCCAAGTTTGATGCAAAGTTATAGATAGATTCCTGCATCCAACAAACTATCATGAGAAACCATCCAAAAGAAATTAATTGGAAACACATCGACTGTGCTACAGAAAACCTTTCAAGAAATAGGTCGAGGAAAACGTCTGTACGTTGAAATCTATCCAAAAGTAGTTCAATTCTAAACATCTATAACTTCCTAGGCAAAGGGCAGTATTAGGTAGAGAAGAGTCGTTATTCACTAAAGCACTATCAATTTCCTAGGGCTTCATCATTCTATGAGCTTGTGGGGGGGAAAACAAAAAAAACAAAAAACCTTAACACCTAAAGCGTTTTCAGGCATCAATTGATGGCTTACCAGTAAGGATTCGGAATTGGTAACATGTGGTACTAAGATATGACAAGTGCAGCCAAGAATTACTACATTTTCATGAGTTTATTATGTACTGTATTGTAGGAAAAGATCTCCATATAAGTTCTTTTATTCTATAGTGCAGTGTAAGTAAATTCTCGATGACCCAAAAAGAGAACAAAAAAGCCTTCCAAGATAATGATGCGGGTTTGATTCCTGCTACCCACTTATCCATATCTATACTCTATGTCTTATTTCTCTATTAAAAAAAAATGCAAGTACTATTTCATCAAATAAGTTACCAGAGATGGGATGCAACCTTGACAAACATGAAAAGCAGACAAAATAAATAGGGAAGATAAAAACAACAAGTGGCAAAAGCTCAAATGAAATGTACAAAATCCAGATATTAAAAGAAATATAATTGAGTTACATCATCAATGAACTTCCTATTAAAATAGTACCACTGAATAACTGTTGAACAAAGCAGAATGGAAAGCATAACATATATAACAGAAAGAATATTTAAATTTCAAAATCATGAAAGAAAGAAATATCAACAAATCATTAAAGTTTACAAGTTAGTCAGATACAGGAAATTAAAAATAAAAAAATAAAAAAAAATAAAAAAATAAAAACAAACAAACAAACTGGAAATGCAACCAAAACCTGATGAGAGAATATAAACTACTCTATCTGTACAAAATACAAATGAAAACGGAGAAGGATGATGCTAAGGATGGCAACAGCTGTAACAAAAACACATGTACCGATTTGAAAAAAATAAATAAATAAACAAATTGAATATAAACTACTACCATATATTAATATTAAATAGTTTGAACTTACTCTACTAATGATAAATGTTATAAACACCACTTGTAAAATTTAGCATTATGCATGGTCGACATGCTTCAAATCCATGACATCATTATTTTAAAAAATTAAAGTTCTGAATGAACTCTAACAATGATAAATGATTAATAAATGCTAGGTGTAAATGAATATAATTATACATGCACCACATTCTTGAAATCCACACCAAAGTTTCTGAAACGTAAATAAAAAAAGCAAGGTTCTGGTTACACCATAACAAATAAGTAGGAAGCAAATCCAATGATTAGTGTCCAGGTATTGAAGAATGACAAGCAGGACATTGCAGTATCTAAATACAAAACTTACCATATCCCCAGTTGTGCCAGAATCTACAGAGATTGATGGCTGCTTTAGAAACTGAGAATTTCCATCATGTGGCAAGTCTTGCTGGTCAACGGCTTCATCATTTTTAATGTCCTCCCCCTGGGTGTATATTTCCATACTCGAAGCAACTAGCAAGAATTATTAGAAGTTCAGTTAATAAACAAATATCTCTACAAAATCAAATGTGCAGTATTGATTGCAAGTCTACAAATCTGGCAATCAAACTGCTTGTAATGCATAAGAAATGGAATCATGATAAGACTAAGAGCAAGAATTATTGCATTTGGAATTTTTTTTTTTTTTTTTTTGGTGGGGGGTGGGGTGGTTGGGGGGTTGTACACAATGGAACATAAAACATACAAACACTATATGGAAAATGTAACCACTTCAAAGAAAAACATTCAGAATATTTTACAGTTCTTCCAAAATTAAATTGATTCACTGAGGAAAATGATTAGGACACTAGGCCAAATTTATGAATTTTCCAAACTAAGAAACAAATCAACAACCAATCATCACATCTGTCTAAGAGAGTAGTTAACATAAGCATAATTCAAGTCGAGTTAGTTGCTTACCATAGCCATCCCAGCATTTCTGATCGCATTTGTCAGATTCTGCTGCTTGTCGAGAAACTGAGACATGGGAGCATGATTTTTTGGATATTATATTAGACTTTTGACACACACTGAGACAACTTTTTTCTCTTATAGAACTCATGTTTAGGTTGGTCTTCATTTTTAATGATGGCATTTGATCTGTTTTTTTATATGTACCACAATCTCGACTTGGAAACATCAGTGGGGAAATAAAACCCTTTTAAACGCTCAAAGCACCTGCCGAGACTGTTGTGAAAGAAATAAGAAGGATATCAGAATAGACAGAGATGTGGAGAAGCTACGAGTAAAAAAAAAAAAAAAAAAGACAGATTAGCATAAAAAAGCAGTAAAGAGACATAACTTTGTTGTGCTATGAGTTTGTGTGGGTAAGTGTGATAACACAACAAAGGAGGAAACAGTTAAATGCCAAGCCCAGGAAAACTTTTCTAAAGCTAACTGAAATTGCTGCCGCTGATTAGCTGTATAAGGAATAATGAGCATCATATAAGCACAACAAAAGCAACTTGCATAAGATTGCAGAATAAAAGCCATAACAATACGAAAGAGGAAGCATGCCCATCGATGCTAAAGGCAATCCCGGTCAATTGTATTGATTTAAGGTCGTGACTTCCATATTTTTTGCTAACAACCATTTATGCAAAATTTTGGAAAAATCTAGGATAGAAGATTAACTTAGCAATCCTGCAACATGGATAAATCAAACAGGTCATAACAGACCAACACAGTTTTCTCAGAGACTAGCACATCAAAAGTTGATAAGCAAATCAAAGACTAAAAAACACAAACTACTTGAGTTTGCTATTGAAATTCAGCACACAAAAAAATAAAATAAAACTAGAAAAATAGGTTGACTGTCTTTCAAGAACTTGCAAAAGGGGTGAAACGAAAGTACTCAATAGCCTATAAACTCAGCAAAAAAGCTAAGCTCACAAAAATTCTTTCAAGCTGAACTACATCAAGGATGAATTATTTGGTGATATTACTTTTATATCTTAGATCATAATTAGGGCCAAAGGAGAAAAGTTTACCTTCTTTAGTTTTAAAAATGAGTTTAAGCCAAAGAATTTCGATTAACAAGAGAAAGATAAAGAGAGTCTCCTCACATCATAAAAGATCACAAAACTCAAAAACCACCAAAAGTCTCAAGTCAACTCAAGTCTTTCCAATCAAAACCCATAGAAACACAAAGACACGGCATAATTCAACACAAACAAAACCAAGAAAACCCTAAGAACAACCAGCTCAAATGACAGTTATAAACTTCAACTAAAAGAGAGAGAGAGAGAGAGAGAGAGAGAGATCAACAGCGAGAGAAACAGTTCATGAAGATAAAAATTCACCTGATAAAGTTAAAAATGAGAAGAAACCAAATATGGAACATAAAAAGAAAAAAAAAAAAACCTGTGTCTGTCTGTGTGTCAAGAAGCTAATAACTTAGAGAGACTTTCTCCCTCTACAGCTTAGAGTTTCATTTTTCTCTCTCTACAGAAATAATATCAGAGACTTTCTCCTTCTCCCTTTTATATTTCTCTCTGACTAAATTATTCTTTAGTCTCTTGGTTTTAATTGAAGTTATACTTTAGTTCTTGATATTTAATAACTTATAAATTAATCCTTTGACTCCTGTATATTGTCTTTCTAAGAAGTCCGTTGAGTTTTTTCTCAAACCTCTCACTATATTTATTTTTTCTTTATCCATTTAAATGTCTTAAAAAATAAACTTGGTATTAAAGAAACAAAATCAACATCTGTTTTAACTAAAAGAAAGAAAGCAATCGGCAAAAGTAAAGGACTGAAATGAATTTTTAAATATAAATAACTAATTTATAATATTGTGAAACATACAGAGGCTGATTAAAAATTTGCAATTCTCTGTTTCTGAAACTTCTACGACCAGTCAAGACAGAAGCGATGTTGGCTTTATATGAGAGGTTGTGGACGGTCGAGATGGAAGTTGTTTTGGACCGGTAGTGTTTGCCACGTGGATGTTGCTCACTCTAACGCGTTGACACATGCTGCTTTGTCGAAACAGAGGCAAGCAAAGGAAAAGGAGGGATGAGCACTATTCCATTAAAATCAAAAAACTGAATAGGATCGAACCAATTTTCGTTTCGATTTTATTTAAAAATTTTGATTAAAAAAAATTAAAGAAAAAATTAAAATTATTTTGGTTTGGTTTGTTTTTAAAAAAAAAATGATTTCGTCAAAAGTCGAAATTTTCACTTGCTAAACATGTCTCTATTCCCTTAGGTATTGTTTGATAATCGGGAATAAAGTTATGAGAATAGGAATGCGGGAATCGGAATGGTATTTGTATTCCAATACTGTGTTTGGAATACTAATAAGGAATCGGAATGCAATTTAAATTTTTTAATATCTAATTTTGTATATAAATATAAATAATGATTAAAAAATAATTTTATTAAACTATAATAGTTATAAAAATAATAAAAGGGATGGTAGTGATTGTGGTGGTTCTAGTAGTGGTGGTGGCGTGGCGGTGGCGGTAATGATTGTGGTAGTCATGATGGTTGTGATTGTAATAGTGATGGTTGTGGTGGTGGTGGTAGTTGTGATGATATTAGTAGTTGTAGTGGTTGTGGTGGTGGTGATAGTGGTGGTGGTTGTGATGATGTTAGTAGTGGTAGTGGTAGTGATTATGATGGTGGTTGCGGTGATGGTGATGGTGGTTGTAGTTATGATGGTGGTGGTGGTGGTGGTTGTGGTTGTGATGGTAGTGGTGGTTGTGGTTGTGATAAAGATAATAGTGGTGGTGGTGATGGTTGTGGTTGTGATAGTAGTGGTAGTGGTGGTTGTGATACCGGTGGTGGTGATGAAAATAGTGGTGGTGGTGTTTGCGGTTGTGATAGTGGTGGTGGTGGTAATTATGGTGATGGTGGCAAAAGTAGTTAATAGATAATAAATAAATAAATAAAATATATTATTATTTTGAAAAAAAATTCATTCCCATTCCTTTTTTTATTCTCACATTTTATGTGAGAATAAAGTTTTGTGTAAATTTTCATTCTCATTCCCACTTCATTCCTTTTAACCAAACAGCTACACTATGGGAATGAAACTTTCATTCTCATTCCCATCACTCTATTCCCGATTACCAAATAGCATTTTAGTGCTTGGTCTCTTATCACTTACTAGACATCGCTTATTCAATTAGCAGTTACCCCTAATATCTATTATCTAGCCAAAACGCAAAAAGAAAAAACCCTCTCATTCTTCACACATAGCCATACCTAGTCACCTATAATCGTTCAGCCCCTACCTACCAAAAACAATCACATCCACCTTAGCCACCTCTCCGTCGTCGGTCCTCCTCCAAACTCCACAATAGTGAGAAGAGTTCTCCACCAAAATGGAAAAGCCAAGCCTTTAGATCTCTCCCCACGAAGGACACTAGTCATTGCCAAATCCATGGCATTCTTATTTCTCTATTTTCCTATGTTTTTAACCTTGTATATCATCACAAAGCATATCCTAAACTAGATTAAAAACTTCTTACCCGGTTCAGTCCCTTCACCACCAATCATCGGCCATCTCTACCTACTTAAGAAGCCAATTTACAAGACATTATCAAACATTTTTTAAAAAATAAGGCCTAGTAATCTTACTCCAAGTGGGATCTCGTTGACTAATTGTTATTTCATCCCCTTCAATAGCTGAAGAATGCTTTATAAAAAACGATGTTGTCTTTGCAAACCGCCCACGTTTGCTCATTGTCAAACACCTTGCCTACAACTACACAAACCTTGCTTGGGCACCTTATGGTGACCACTAGTGAAACCTTAAGAAAATCACCTCTATTAAAATCTTATTAGACTAGTATTTTATCACATAGATAAAGGAAGTAATTTAGTATGGGTCCAGCTTTTGCCGCTAGCATCTCTAAGTGAAACAAACATAGGTGTCGATCTGTTTAGATGAGGAGTTAGGTTGTATATCATTGGATCGTTGTATAAAGTGATCATTAAGGCCTCTAGATCGAAGTAAAGCTACAATAAGAAAGGTAATGGTAGGGATAAAGTTTTGGATTGTTGATGCAAAAGTCAATGGGGTGTTCTCTAGACCGAGCAAGTAGAATCCTTGGTTTGTTGTTATTTTGTTCATATGGGAAACAAAAAATTAAAAATGGGTAATATTAGTCCCTTTACTTAAAATGGATTTTTAATTGAAAACTGAAATATCAAACCAAAAATTTTCATTTTTTAATCAAAAAATCAAACCTCAATTTGGTTTGGTTTTGGTTTTTGTTATAGTTAATTTGGTTTTAAAAAAACGAAGTCGAACCGAAAAATCTAATGATCACCTGTAAAGAAGGAGTTAGGATGATGGATTGCACGGTCTCTTCCTTAAGTGCATGTGTAATAAATCATTGTCTCGTTTTAGAATTTTTAGTCTTTTTCTTTTTTTAAAAAAAAATGCTAGTAAGTTTCTATCATTTGGGGTTTTTTATTTGTTTAACACTCGTGACGAGTTAGTGTTTAATACTCTTTTTGTTTAATTAAAAAATTTATTGGATCCGTACTATATAATAAAAACAGTCATTTCACCTCAAATTAACAAAAAAAAACTAAAACTAAAACAAAACATAAAAAGACTATGTTGTTGCACTATTCATACCACTCGTAACACAAGACTTAGTTCACTCTAAAGGCGGACTTAGTGCATTGTCAAGACACACTCAATGGTACTTATTCAAACTTTGTTCTTTATTCTAACTATTATAATAGCTCATGAATGTAAAGATTTATTCTATCGACAACAATGTGTTTATTTGGCTATTGTTTTTTTATCCTCTTTTGCTTCATTATTACGGGATTTGTTAATGGATGGTTGGAGAGGGTGTGTTTGGATCTCCTCTCTTTCTCTCGATGCTAGAGGTGTCGACCATAATAGACGAGAGGAGAGGATTGGTGGCGATCGAAACTTTAACTTTTGGGCTTCTTCTTTGACTATGTTCTCGGCCATGACAAGACCAGAGAACGACACACTCGGAGAACCACAAAGAACATCTCTATGGTGGTTAGGAGGTATGATTTGGCCTTGATCGATTGATTAGATTGAATCTTCATAAGCATATCGAGACTAGTGTTCACTTCGATT